ATCAGTCATGACGTGTTTCTATCAAACTAATTGCATTATTGTATCGTTACCAAGTTCATCTAATAATCAATCAACGCATAAAGATCATCACTAGGGAGATTTCAAACCTAGGAAATTAGGCTTAGTTTGTTGAATTGCTTGCTATTCATAACCAAATATGAAATCTTTTCTGACATTGAGCTATGTTGATTGTGCAATTCATTGTCTAAAAAATGATCAATTAAATCTCAAATTGATTAAAGAGATGAAACAATAACCAAGACATAAGTGCTTGATCTACTTCAAATAAGTCATCATCTTGCATGGACATGTTAAATAATATCGATTAACGATGAAATCAATAATGAGAAAATCACCAAAAATTTTATCTTTTAATTTCTTATTTCAATAATAAGATGATAAATTCATTCTTTCAAAAATCAGTTGTACCTTGGGTAGTGATGATGGTGCTGTGGTTATTGAAAGGTGGTGGTGATGGGTTGTTGATCTGAGGCGGCAACGTGCTTTTTATGGTGTCGACAATGGGGAAATGGTGTGGTGTTTGGTGGGGGGCGATGGAGGTAATTTGTGATCATTTTATTGGGTATTGTGACAAGTTAATTTAATAATTTGTGAGCGATAAATAAGTTGTCATCAATTAATTTGATAAATTTTGATCGCTAAATAATTTGTGACTATTAGATTTGATAATTTGTAAACGATAAATAAGTTGCAATCTATAAAATTTGTGATTTGTAATAGAGAAATAAGTCATGATCAATTAATTTGATAATTTGTAATCGATAAATAAGTTGTGATCTATAAAATTTGTGATTTGTGATTTTGAGGTTTTATGATTGTGGATGGTATGTAACGTGTCAATTAAATGTAGAGGAAATTACATTATATCCCCTAAAAACAAGGCACTTTTGAAAAATCATATGAAAAGTTGGTACGAAGTCTATAATATTTTTACATTAATTATAAATTGTCAGCAAACTGAACCCTAATTATTTCCAACTTTTCCCCCTCTCCTTGGTCTCTCTATATTTATCTCTTCTCTCTCTATTGGACAAACCGACCTTGATCTATGGAGAATGAATATGAAATCCAATCACGTCCGTCTTCAACTTCTAATGGGAGAAGTACAGTGGCCGTTGCGGCTCTGCCACCAATAATAATTTGCCTCCAATCTAGCAAAATATGATTTGCAGCATACCATCTTCTAAAGGTAAAGTCATTTTTTTTATTTCTTGCCAATCATAATGTTGGGCAGAAGTAAGCGCCACTTGCCGCAGCCAGCGTCTGTGAAAATCTTCCGTCAACATGGTAGTTATAGTGGTAGATAAGTAGTTGCCAAAGAAGGAAACAGAGAACGGAAATTTATAATTTCATTTTGAAATAATGTTAGTGTGGAAAGTGAATTGGGTACGCCTTGTTACAAGAACACCCATTTAATTTTCGGGATGATATCGTCACCGGTTTCGCTACCTGAATTTATTCGACATGATGTGGATATGCCGTTATAGCTGCTATAGCTGTTTTGGGCCAAGAGAATATTTCGTTGATCTTGACAGAGATCGTGTGGCCAAACGAATTTGAGTCTAGGGCCACCAGAAGGCAGAAACTATGTCGAGATGTACTTGAAGGGGTTGCTGATGCATTTAAGGTCAGGAATGGGAATTCCATTGAAGAAAGAAGGGGTGCTGAGGCTTGCTTTTACCAATTGTTTGATGAAATTGATCGAAAAAATAGCAGTAATAATCCCAATATGACTTTGAAGTACTGGATTGATTTCTCATTCACAATGGATTCTTGAAAATGGTAATTGCTTTATGCATATATGTTTCTCATGTTACGACTTGTTTAGGCGCCGAGAGTTGAGTTTTTAGTATAGACACAGAATTTTCATTTCTTAGACAATTAGTTTAGCTCATCGCTGCCTGGTATGGGCATCAAAAATTGTTTTTGCCAATCTTTCTAGTTTCTACTATGTTAATTTTGATATTTGATTCAAGTTAAGTAGTAATAAGTCATGATTGTTGATAATCTATGTGTAATTGAGGATACGTCTAAAGATGAAGAGAGATGACAAAACTAACATGACTTTACCAAATTAGTATACTTCGGTGTTTGAATTCCAATTCATGTGTTTCACATGTGGATAGTAGGTGGTTTTGTATCATTGACACAAACAAAAAGTGACTCTTGAATTTTTGTCACTTTTTTGAATATTCGTCACTTTTTTTAAATTTTTATTATTTCCAAATTATAGGACGTAGTATTCATAAAATGAAATTATAGGAGGTATGAAGGAGTTTGGGTTGGATTGAATGAGTTGAATTTTTTGTATGAATTGAATGTTTATCTCACTTTTATTTAAAAAAAAAAAATTTGTCACTTTTTGTTAATTTGTCACTTTTTTTGAGTGAATTATCCAAATGGTCATTAAATTTTGCAAAAAGTTTTTATGGGGTTATTGAAATTTAAAAAGCACACAATTCATTACTGAACTTTGCAAAAAGTTTCCACGTGGTCACTGAACTTTACAAAAGGTTTCCTAAGGTTCACTAAATCTTGGAAAACCTTTTGTAAAGTTCAATGATGAATTAGATTATTTTTAAAGTTCAGAGATTTCGTTGAAACATTTTGCAAAGTTCGGTGATGAATTTGATTTTTTAAAGTTCAGTAATCCTGTGAAAACATTTTACAAAATTCAGTGACCATTTGAGTAATTCCTTGCACTTTTTTTAGTCAGTTTTTTGAATGTGTAACTTTTTTTTAAAATTTTTTTTATATGTCTTTAATTTTTTTCACTTTTTTTTAGTATTTGTCACTTTTTTTTTCATTTACCTTTTTTAAATTTCTATAATTTTTTTGTGACAAATATCATTTTTTAATAAAAGTGACATTGTATGTCATTTTTTTTAATAAAAACGTGACACTAGAATTTTAAAAGTGACATTGTGTCACTTTTTAATAAAAAAGACACTTAATTTTACACATTATTTTTTACATCCAAAAAACTTTTCATATAATTATTCAAGACACTCCTAATTTTAAAGGTTTTTTTGTAAGTCGCCCTGAAATGTACGTTAGTGTGACATTAACCTATTTAATTAGTAAAACTTATTTAATTAATATTACATGATTTTTGAAAGAATTTCACTAGTTTTTCAAATTTGAAATTATATTTTTGAAGATTTATAATTATGTATTTTTCCCAACAATAATTTTATAAGGACTTTGGATTAGGACGAGGACTAGGACTTCTCCATCTTCAAGACCCAATAACGAAAAGGGCGTAAAATTCTATACAATTTCAATTGGAAAGTGATAAACCCACCAACTCTTTACATTGTTCGGACAAGGATTAGTAAATTATAAGTTGATTTTGGAAAAACATAAATTTTGCCGTGTTCCAGATTCTTTATTTTTCAACAAATCCGCCCTCCTTGTATTCTTTGTCTTCTCGTCCTTGGTTTTCTTCGCTCTCCTTGATTTCCTAATGTGTTTTATTATCTTGCTGAAAGCACCTCAAACCACTTTTATATTCACGGGAACATAAAACATTTGAACCATTAAATACATTGTGAGAGGGTGTTTGATTCTCATTAATTAGAAAAAAAAAAATTTTTTTGAATAATATTTTTTTGAAGAATGTGTGGTTTAAAAGTAGGAAAAAGATTTTATTATAGACGTAAAATGTTTTATTGTGTAAATATGTAATTAAAAATCATCCTATAGTAAATTATAGAATAAATTAATTAGTGTCAAACAAGCACTAAAGTAGCTTCATGTACATCATCTCGGAATTCTAGTCTAGAAGTTAATTAAATGAATGTTTGTATGCCCAATCATGCTATTTGCATAATTTATTTTACAACTTGGTTTACAATGCATGGGTTGACAAACATCACATCCTTTTATTTGAAAAAATATTTTTAAAATCAATGGTCGGAATTTTTTCTACACTTGTTGTCAACCAAGTTGTATATAAACATTGTACAAGTGACTTTATTCTTGTATGCCCTTGTTTTATCCCCATTATTTTCAACAATAAAGCCTCTTGCACACTGTTGGTACATAGCTTTGTGTACAACTTTTTGCATTCTGGGTCACGTGCCCACTTAAATTGGTGGGAATCGGAATTGTTTTTACACTTTTAAATATTTTTTAATAAGGCCCATATTTGGCTAATTGGGTTAACCGGTCCCTTACTGTTAGGGATGTCAAATGGGTCGAGCAGGCTCGGCTTGTGGGCTGCTCGGGCTTGTCATCTCGAGCCGAGCGGGGGGTCGATTCCAACTAGTCGAACCCGCTCGGCTCGTCGAGCTCGACGAGCGGCTCGTCCAAAAAAGTGGAAAAAATTAAAATTTTATCAACAAAAATTGAAAAATTTGCAAAAAAAAATAAAAATAAAAAAAAATTAAAATAAAATTTCACGAGCTCGCGAGCCGCTCGTGGGCTCGGCTCGGGCCGAGCCACGAGCTCGAATTATTTCAATAATTCAAAACAACAATTAATTATAAATTTGCAACAATATGGAAGTGTTATATCTAGGGATGTCAATTGAGCCGAGCCGGCTCGGCTCGTCAAAGCTCGACTCGTGGGCTGCTTGGGCTCGTCAAATGACAAGCCCAAGCTCGAGCTCGAGCCGAGCGGGGGTTGCGTCCAACGAGCCGAGCCGCTCGGCTCGTCGAGCTCGACGAGTGGCTCATGGGCCGAGCTCACGAGCCGAGCCCACGAGCCAGCTCATCCAAAAAAGTGGTAAAAATTAAAATTTTATCAATAAAAATTGAAAAATTTGCCAAAAAAAAATTTCACGAGCTCGTGGGCCGAGCCGAGCTCCCCCACAAGCAACGAGCCGAGCCCGAGCTCGGCTCGTGAAAAACGAGCCACGAGCTCGACTCGAGCTCGTGGGTTAACGAGTCAAGCCGGTTTGGCTCGGCCCACTGCCACCCCCTACTTACTGTCAAAAAAATAGAATTGATAGAAAAACCCTCCCCCACGAGCTACAAATCTACAATGGGTTTGCTGTGCCAACGGACTAAGTGCGGAATTGAAGGTAAGAACTTATTTTCTGCCAAAATAAATTCCGTCCACATGCAGTCAATGTTAACCGAGCTTGAAACCTTTCGATTTACCCTACTATAGCCAAACGAGACCGTAACCAAGAGGTTGCACATCCAACAAAAATCGCAATTTAAATTTTCTTCCGACGAGGATTCATCTACTTCACTTGTGAAAGGTAATTTCGTTTCAATTATTCTGAAGTTGTAATGTTCGAAAATCCGACTAATATTTTCGAAATGTGTACAGTATATTAAGATATTCACCTACTTGTAATTCCCTTGTAAATATTTTTGAAATGTGTACAGAATCTATCTTTGTGGTGGCATAGGGATTGACAAAATGACGGAGAAAGGTAATCTCGTTATAAATTTTTTGAAGTTGCATTGTTTCGAAGCCTATGTATTTTCACTGCTTCCGTAATTTGTTGCTTCACTTCTAATATTATTGAAATCAGATTTTCATGAACATTTGAACAATACACAAAATTCATATTCTCATTCAATATGATGTAGGAAAAGAAGTTGTGGAAGTATTAGATGATGAAGTTTTAATAGAATCCAATAATGACAACAATACAAACAATATCGTCACATTGAAAGATGATATCCTAGGAGGAGATGGCATGATTGTGTTTAAAGTTGGTATGAAGTTCAAAGATGAGAAAGAGTTGTTTAAGTTTTATAAGAGGTATGCGTATGACGTAAGTTTTTCGGTTAGGAGGAGAAATTCTAGAAAGGGAGAAGATGGAGTAGTGAATTATATTACGTTGACATGTTACTGTGAGGGCCAGAGAAGCAGTAATGTAGGCGCTTCTTTGAAACCACATCCAATAATTCGGACAGGTTACAAAGCAAGACTTACTACTTTTTCAGATATTCATGGAATATGGAAAATTTGCACAATTGATCTCGAACACAATCATAAAACTAGTCCTTCAAAATTCAAATTGTATCGCTGCAATTGAGTGCAAATGTCAAACGCAAGCTCAAAGTGAATGATATAGCTGGAATACCTTTGCACAAGAGTTACAACTTGAAGCGAGTGGGTATGAGAACATGACTTGCGTGGAAAATGATTGTCGAAATTGTGTTGGATGAGTGAGGCAATTGAGACTCAGTGAAGGAGATGTCGCGGCAATACAATCCTACTTTTCACAAATGCAAGCACAGTGCTCAGATTTTTACTTCTGTATGGATTTAGATGAAGAGTCACAGCTTAGGAATCTCTTCTAGGCAGATAAGAGGTGTAGGCAAGCGTATAAGGAGTTTGGGGATGTAGTGACGTTTGATACCACTTATCTCGCAAATAAATACGACATGCCTTTTGTCCCTTTGTTGGAGTAAATCATCATGGACAATCAACACTCCTTGGTTGTGATTTGCTGACAAATGAAGATACATATACATTTGTTTGGCTATTCAGGATATGGATGCAGTTTATGCATGGTCAAGCACCAAATGGAATTATTATCGATCAAGACATGGCCATGCAAAATACAATTGAGATAGTCTTTCCAAACACGAGGCATATATGGTGTTTGTGGCATATATTGAAGAAGTTGCCGGAGAAGTTTGGGTACCACGTTCAGAGAGGGTCCAATTTTTCATCTATACACGACTTAGTGTATGATACACAGGTCGTTGAAGAATTCGAAGAAGGTTGGAAAAGTTATGCTTAATACATGTGACTGACATGATATGATTAGTTGTCGGGGTTGTTTGAGAAAAGGGGTCGTTGGGTGACATGTTATTTGAAAACAACTTTTTGGGTGTGGATGTCAACAATTTAGCGCAGTGAGAGTATAAATGCGTTCTTCGATGGGTATATACATTCTAAGACATCGTTGAAACAATTTATCATACAATACGAACGAGCATTACTAAATAAAGTTGAGAAGGAATTCCAAGCAGATTTCAAGTCTTACTTACGGATGGTAACCTGTGCAACAAAATATGAAATGGAAAAGCAATTATAGGCTGTTTATACCATTTCAAAATTTTGGGAATTTCAAGATAAGATAACCGGAAAGGTCTACTACTATGTGATATCTGCAAGTGATATATATTCGGAGAAGTTGTATGAGGTTGAGGATGATGTCATTTACAAAGAATATATTAGAACGAAAAAGTTTTCAGTCACATTTCGGGTAGAGGATTGCGATGTTATTTGCAGTTGCCACTTATTTGAGTTTCTTGGAATTTTGTGTAGACATGCCATATCAGTGTTGATGCGTAATGACGTCACATCACTATCAGAGAGGTACATATTGAGGATAATGGAGACGAGATGTTTGTAGAACCCACACGAGGGTTGCTGTGAATTACGACGGTCTGGTTAGCACTCCTAGCCAGTTGAGGTATGATAGAATGTGTGAAATGTTTGCTACGTTGGCAGACATTGCTGTTGATGACGAAGATCGAGCTCATGCGCTAATAGATTGGATTCGATTGCAATCCAAATACTTCATGATGTCTATGAAGACGAGTTGGGGAAGTAATAGCATTTCGCAACCTAGTTTGCATTTAGGTTCGCAGTCTAGAGCATCAAATGACATTAGCAACGGTATGATATAAGATCCTAAATGTTCAAAAAGAAAGGGCGCACCAAAGAAACTTTGTCATAAAAGCTCATTGGAGTCGATCTCGAAAAAATAAAGGTTATTTTTCTTTTACACATTTTTCTCATGTGTCATATATTCATTTGAACGAATATCAAATGTTAATTATTCCCATGTCATGTAGGCAGCATCAACTTCCAACAAAGGACAGAGATCGAGAGAGGCGAAAAGTAATCTTTGACTCGTCACACCTATTGCTCAGTCCTCTCTACAAGCACAATATTCGATGCTGACACTATTCTCAAATTCACAACTCATATTTGTAAGTATTTATTATTGGTCAATGTGTTGGAGGCAGGTTTCTAATTAAATTTTCATTTTATGCAGGCCGACGAGGAAAGTCACGCACTAACACAACAATTGCTATCTGCAAATTTTATTCCTGCATCAACATCGAATGTTTTGTTCAAATATCCCGGCGAGTATACGATTTCAAATGTGTATTTAGCATGTTCCCAAATGTGAATTTATCATATGTTAGATAATACAATGCCATACTACTGTCCCGATTTGTCGTACAATTTTGGAACACAATTGGGAATGAGACCGTTCGCAATGGATGTTTTCCCTCTTCGATTTCATGGTGTAAGTGGTGTAATTTTTCTCCTTATTAACAGTTAATTTCATATGGTTTTCCAATTTACTTGCAATAACAATATGTTAAATGTCATTTCAACCATTGCTTCACCAGCTAACATAACAGATTGGATGTCCAGTGCCGCCCATACCAATCCGCATGCTGTTGTTGCGGAAGGTCCTTCTAGTCTTGTTCAGAATCTGAGTTCAGGAATGGCTCAACAAGATCCTACAAGTGATATTGCAATGACCTGTCAAGATGCTGGTTCATCAAGGGGACTATTATTTAATTCCTATAATGAAACTCAATAGGCATGTTATGATTTTATTTTATTTTTTATTTTATATATTTTTTTTCAAAATCTGGTGTCAAGGAATGGTCTTTTCTTTTGGTTTTTGAACTTTTGGGATAAACATTGGAAGAATTGAGAATCAATTGTTGTTTAGACAGTGTACTTGTGTAGTTCTGCCTTTCTTTTATCTAGGATTTTTCTTGTATTTCTCCACTTTGCTTTGATATTGTTTGCTGAGTGTTCACTTATCAGAAAGTAGATAGGTTACCTGTACTTAAATTTTGAGTGAATATTAAATATTTTTAGGAAGTATATTTCCTGTTCTTCATGCTATTACAAAGGACCAGAAGAAGAGTTTGATACCAGTTACCTTGGAAGAAAGGGGAGTTGACAGAAAAACTAATGGCTAGAACCATCTCCACTAAGAAGAGTTAGGGGAGTTGTCATTCTCTCTCCTTTTTACTCTTTCGTAAGGTGTTAAATTGCAAATCAACACCAGAACCATCTCCACTTTGCATCAGGCCTTAGATCAAACAAAAGGACTTCAACTCAAACTTTAGAGTTAGTTTCCAAGTCAAACCTGGGTGCGGGGAATGGATTAATAGTGATCAACTTATGGCCTTGGAGAACAATAGAACAATCAATCAACAGTGATCAACTTATGGCCTTGCTACGCATACATCATATCAAACTTTAATGGACATTCATCTTCCACTCTAATGCTAAAAAACCAAACATACTTTTGAAATTGAAAACAAATAAATCACTAGCCAAATAAAGTTTGCCTTGCCAACATAAATGCAGTGAAACTATAACTAAACATTCTTTTCAAAAAGAAAATAAATGGGGACCATTCTCATAGACAGTAACTATAAGTACAAAGGGACTCTTGGCACAACTTGAGAAACTCGTTAAACATCAATACAATTTTTGAGAAAAGCAGATTACACATGAAAGTACTAGCATATAATACATAAACACTTGTGACAACAACAATTCGAAAGAGTCTTTTTCTTGATACACCATCCTAAACCATCCTAATACATGACATATTCAGATTTCATTCTCTAAAACTTGTTTCCTTTTGTGCATATTTATTTTGAGTGAGATCTTCAAGTCTTTTTCGTCAGTTAGTTTACTGAGCATGACAAATCATTCACGTGTTCGCCTCCATTTCTAATGCCACTTGATTCACCATCATCATGCAATGAACACTTTTCGTCAGGGGATTTGTTACACCACTTGAAGAACCTACAGTCGCAAGTACAACAATGGAACAATAGCCCTTATGGTCATTGTTATTTTCGACCTCCATCCATTTAATGAAGGCCAAGTCACAATTTGGTAGCAGCATATGTCCCCTTTGTTTACAACAATGACATATTCCCCGATTCTGGCCTGCCATCAACCTAGTCTATATCAACCACATTAAACAATTACATCGACATGTAAACATATAACTCTCACAAAACAGGCATTTTCCTTGAACTACATTAAACAAACATTCCCATATCAAACAACCTGCTTATAATTGAAAACACTACTATAGCATTTTCTTTGATCTAGCAACATAGGAAATTGTAAATACACCTCGTTTGAAGGTTAAGATTGAAGCTCAGCATTGCAAAACTAAGATTTTCCTTACATCTAAAACAAAAAGAAAAATGAAGACGCATAATTGAATGAGCTCGGCATTGTCAAACAGTGTTTTCGAAACTAATTTTTGCCTTATACATAAAACTGAAAGAAGATTGAAGAAGCTTAAAGCCCAACTTTTTTTGTTCATACACAGTAACTCTCAGGTGACAAGCCCAGCATTGTCAAACAATTTTTCGCATACGCTACAGTTGATAGAAGATCAAAAACTCGTATTTTGTCTTCAACATACGATGAAACAAGAAATTATTGTGTTAATAACGAAATAATATCACAAAACTCGAAAATGCACATCGTTGCTTCCTTCTCTTTCTCTTACCTACGCGAGAGAGTATTGGGTGGTCTCTTGTCGACGGGGAGGGAGGAAGTATTTTCTAACGGTTGACGAGATGATTGAAGGTGGCGATTATTTGGGTGGTGGCCTGAAAAATAGGGCAGCTGGAGTGTAAATGTAAATGGAAAAGTGGAATTGAGTTGGGGAAGAGGGATTCCTTTGTTTCAGCCCAGGTCACTAACAAGAAAATCCGCTTTTGGTTTTTTTTTTTATTCCTTTTTTAAACTTTCCACGTCAGCACTATATGGTATGCTGTACATGAAGCGAAATTGTATTTTTAAAATGTATTTTTATTTCTCTTCTTTTCAATTATATATTTTTTAATAAAATAATATTAAACCTAAATAAAAAAAATTTCCTTATTTTTTAATCACACATTTTTCATCAATCTATTATTTCAAAATATATCTTTAGCCAAAAATGAGGCTCAAACAGGTGCTAAACTTTGTTCTAGATATTTAGTTACGCACTGTACAAAAATGATTATTCATTGCTCACTATGTATTCAAAATGTTATAGACCATCATTAAAGTGAAATTTGTTACTCTCACTTAGCAAAAATGTTCACATGTCCAACGAAATTCTTACGTGATATATTTACCTCTTTAACTCAACCACTTCGGATTAAAATGTATCAAGTTATGGTCATTCGACTTTCTCAATATTAATACTTACTGATGTATAAAACTTAACTCATTGATCACTCAACTATTCAAATGACTAGCTATGCATCACTTGTTTAAAATCTGACGTACGGAATTTTTACGAGGCATGTTTACCTCATTAATTACAATAACATTAGATTAAGATAAGGTAATTAGCAAAAGACGTTCCTACCATTCAATATTATTATGCAAAACGTTGCTACAGTTTACTTTTTGGCAATTTCACCCTTATTTACACATTTCATTGCGAAAATCTTCATTTTCATCATTTTTCTCAATTAAGAGCTATAAAATGACGAATATACCACCTAGTTAAATAAAAAAATAAAAAATAAAGAACAAATTGAAGCTATACTCCAAAAGTTTTCAAAAAAGTTCAAATAAAATTGTAAAAAATTAAAATAATAATAATAATAATAATAATAATAACTTTCTTTCATTAATTCTCTTCCTCCAACACCACCACCTCCTTTTGCAGCCTCAATCTTATATTAAATTGGAGAATGATCCAAATTTAGTAATATGTCCTGGAGTCAATGAGCCACCCTTCCCCCTTTTTTACTAGAAATGGGCATTTTTTACCACTCAATGGAGTTGCCATCAATTCCTCCCAAATCCACCGTCTTGTTGCCACCAAAACCACATGAATATCACCTTTCCACTGATGTCAATACTCCCTTAATCCATCACAACCAAACAATTACACAAACAGCCAAAAATTCGATTCAAAATCAGCCACAAATACATCAAAAAGCGCATGGGGTGGGCAGTTTGTAGCCAAAATGAGATAAATTTGGCTATTAATTGGGAAAATTAAATTCATACCCACTGTCGTGTGATGTTGATGAAGATTAACACGAGGAAAATTAAGTGAATTAAAAGAGGCATACATGCCACGTTTTCTTAGCACAACAGGAGAAACTTTCAAGTCAAATCAGCATCATAATGTACTTTTTTTATTTTTATTTTATTTTATGTTTCTCCATGACTATGGGCGACTAGATAAGATGGATTGACCAGCAATAGTGGACGACCATAGGCATTGACGAAATGGGTAGAATCGGTGAAAAGGTCATCCAATTCTTTGTATATTTGGGGTTGATTTTGAGTTGAATTTGTAGTTGTTTGTGTAATTATTTTGTTTGATGGATTGTATTGGCGCCATAGTAGGAGTGAAATTCCGGTGGTTTTAACAACGGCTGCACGATGGATTTGGGAAAAATTGGAGATGGCTTCGTGGAGTGGCAAAAATTGTAAGTGTTATGCCCTAAATTCAATCGATTTATGTTGTAAACATTTTTAATATGTTTAATACATTTAATTTGGCAAGATCTATTATTTATTTAAATTAATTTTGTGATAAATAATATTAAATAATAGAATTCGAAAATCCAAGTTTAAGTGATTTGTTAATTACAAGGAGTTGTGATTGTGAGATACAAATTACGTATGATTGAATCTTGAATAAATCGTGGTCGTAAGTAATGACGAGATACGGATGTCGTTAATACAGTTAGACCATCACGTGTGGCATTTCTTACTTGTGAAGTAAGTAGCTAATCTCACGAGTTAAAGTGTGGTGACACTTAAATGAACACGTGGATGTTTTGTTATAGAACAAAACATTGGAGACCCGCTAAGAGATTCCACATGGATAATTATCTGAGTGTCAGTGGTTAATCTCTAACGTTCAGTAGTGGAATTGGTCCTATAACTTGAGGTCATCATAGTGCCTTGTATGGAGATAGTTATGTTTTGACGGTGTTGGATGCTGCTCTGCCAAGAGCCGCTAATACGACATCATTCGGGTATTTCAAGAACCATATGAAGGTTGTGAATGACCAATAGAGGATTCGTCACTCTTAGATAGTAAGCGATTGTGATCTACATTTCGTTCAATTAAGTCAATAACGAAATCATTGACCAAGGTATACATATAAGTCGAAAAAGAGTTTTCGACTCATATTGATTTAATAGTAGAATGAAAGATATGATCAATAATCGAGATTGACACACTTCCATATCTCGTAGCTGATCGGATCATATTAACGAAGTGATTATCATTTCATGTAAACGAGCAGTTTTGATTTTGTCATACCACGTGACATTTTTCGTTACATGTGTTGCCCTAATACATTGCTAGATGTCAATTTGGGACGGCGAGTGTGAATTTGTGATAAATTAAAAGGGTATTTAATTTATCAGTTTAGATTAGATCAAAATAATATTTCATGTCGTTAGATATCGTGGTCGGAAACATAATGGGTCGCACACAAAAGAGAATTGGAAGATTGCAAATTGCCAATTGGTTAATTTAACAATCGTTGGATAAATTAATTAATTGGATTTGTTATTTATATTCCCGAATTAATTAATCCGATTAATTAATTCACGGATCTGGTTTAATTAAATGGATTAATTAAATATTGGACCGGATCGGATCGAGCTCGTTTGGGTTTATATAAATACATGGTTAGGATTTGAGGTCCATAAAGTTTTCATTATTCTTGCTGGTACAAGAGGAAAAAAACTAGCATTTGTAGTATATTCTCTGTGTGGATTTTATTGGAGGTTGAACAATTGGACATTTGTGGGAGACAGATTCAA